TTCCTTGATGTATTCATCCATGATTTTACTTTATTGTGGGGATAGGACATATACCGCTCCTTTAGGAGGCATAGCCCCGGGCAACAGATCTGTGTGGAGGAAGAGCATTAGACAGAAATGTCAAGGAAAAATCTGCTTCCAGAATTACTAGAGGATGTATCCATTACACCTAAGACCTGTCCCCTTAAGGTTCTTAGGTGCAGAAGTTTTCCGGACGTATAGGACAAACATCTTTCATATGCCCTTCCTTGCCCCAAAACAGACCCTCCCTTCTCCTATACTGTTTCTCTGCCTCAGACAGTCCTGTAACCCCTAACTACATAGTTTTGGGTTCAGACAGCCTTGAGAGGTCAGGGACACCAGGTTTGGAGAATCATAGTACTAGTGACCAGTGGCGTACTAAGGGGGGGACGGAGGCGGCGGTCCGCCCCGGGTGCCACCGGGGTGGGGGGTGCCATGACCAGCCCCGCGGCCCCCCCATGCTGCAGCCGCCCGAGCGCTCTGTAGAGAGCCTCAGGCGGCTGCAGCTTTGCCCGGTCGGTGCGTCCATGAGGGCGGACCGCACCGCCTGGGCGCAGCCTGAGGAGAGGGGCTGACAGGAGGGAAGCGCTCAGCGCTCCCTCCTGTCACTCCCTCTGTAGTAGCGTGGCCGAGCCCTGCAGCATGCTGGTCCGACGGGTACAGAGAGCAGCTGTCTCCTTTACCCGGCCGGACTAACAGGAAGTGCACACTGGGTGTGCACTTCCTGTTAGTCCAGCCGGGTACAGGAAACAACAACTACAGCTACAAGGTAGGGGGGAGGGGAGAAAGAGAAATTAGGAGGAGGGGGTTAGAAAGAGAAAGAAGGGGGTGAGAAAGAGAAAGAAGGGGGGTGAGAAAGAGAGAAGGGGGTGAGAAAGAGAAAGAAGGGGGTGAGAAAGAAGAGAAAGAAGGGGGGTGAGAAAGAGAAAGAAGGGGGGTGAGAAAGAGAAAAGAAGGGGGTGAGAAAGAGAAAGAAGGGGTGAGAAAGAGAAAGAAGGGGCGAGAAAGAGAAAGAAGGTGAGAAAGAGAAAGAAGGGGGGGTGAGAAAGAGAAAGAAGGGAGGGTGAGAAAGAGGAGAAAGGGGGGTGAGAAGGAGAAAGGGGGGGTGAGAAGAGAAAGGAGGGGGGGAGAGAAAGAGAAAGGAGGGGGGTGAGAAAGGAGAGAGGGGGTGAAAGGAGGGGGTGAGAAAGAGAAAGGCATGGGGGGTGAGAAAGAGAAAGAGGTGGGGAGAAAGATAAATTAGGAGGGGGTGAGAAAGAGAAAATAGGAGGGGGGTGAGAAAGAGAAAATAGGAGGGGGGTGAGAAAGAGAAATTAGGAGGGGGAGAGAAATTAGGAGGGGGGGAGAAAGAGAAATTGGGAGGATGAGAAGGAAATTGGAGCGGGAGGAGAGATTGACATTCATCACATACACACAATGCACCCCTTGCACACAGAAAAAACACACAATGCATTACACACACAGACACACATACACAAGCAATGCAACCGTTACACACAATGCATCCCTTACACACACAGAAACACACAATGCATTCATTACACACACTCAATGCACCCCTTACACACATTCAATGCATCCCATACATACACAGAAACACACCTTGCAGCCCTTACACATACAAACACAATTTCACACAATGCATTCCTTACACACATATCAGGACATCCCTTACACACTCCACCCCCTGTGAACAAGCTCATTGGTGGAACATGAAGGTGGACCCTGGGACCCAGACCTTGAGCTGTGTAAAGGACCCCCCAAAAAATGGAGCTGCTTCCCGTTCTCCCAGAACATTTATTTTAGGACCACAGTTACAAACCGCTTCCAGAGAGCCTGCGTTCTGCACCAGACCAGTGGAGCCAGACTGCAGCCAGAGCCCATCATCATCCCTCATCTGGTTTCGTAAGTAGGCAATCTTAGTATATTATTCGCGGCACTAAGCTCTAATTTCCTACCTCACATTAAAGAAACACTATAGGTCCCCAGAACCACTGCAGCTTAATGTAGTGGTTCTGGTGTCTATAGCCTGTCCCTGCAGGCCTTTTAATGTAAACACGGCGGCACTGCAGCACTGGCGTTAGTTAACATGGCAAATCATATGGGTGGGGCATTGTGGATGTCACATGGGGGCAGCAAACTTTACTTTTGCCTAGGGCGGCAAAAATCCTTGCACCGGCCCTGGCTGGAGGGGGCTGTGTGAGCTGTGGCCGCACAGTGTCCCATGGTAGTTAGGGTGCCGTGCGGCCAGTACAGCTCACACAAGCAAACAGCTGATAAACTGGCCGCACGGAGGAAATGTGTATGTGTGACTGTCTGCCTGTGACTGTGTGTGACTGTCTGCCTGTAACTGAGTGTGTGACTGTCTGTCTGTAACTGAGTGTGTGACTGTCTGCCTGTAAATGTGTGTGTGGGGCTGCAGGGATTTTGTAGAAGGGGGCGGGGGTTTTGTATTGGGACAGGAGTCTTACAAATTGTAAAAAAAAAAGAGAACCTTTAAATTTTTTTACAGGTTTTTTGTTTTTTTTTGGGGGGGGGGATGCCAAGCACAGGATCCGCCCCGGGTGCCAAATGCTCTAGGTACGCCCCTGTCTATCAGGGACATAGCACGCTACTTAGATCCTTTATTATTAACAACATTAGTGTATTATTATTACTGCAGTATTTTAAACAATATCTGATTCTATCACTATTTTTTGAATGCCAATAATTTGACACGGACACTATAGATAGCACATAGCATACATCGGTTACCTATATGTGCAGGCTCCATTCTTACAAATGTAGAATTGTGCCTTTACCATTCTTTATCACCCTCCTAGCATTATGACCGCTTTGAATTTAACGTCTTCCCTTAATAGCACAGACGTGTGCTATAGTTTATAATTTCTACACATTATTTAAGACACTTGAGTTTACCTTAGTTTTTCACATTGTATCTTTTCTGATTTTAACAATTTTTGTATCTAGTTTTTTTAATTCTTTATTTATGAAAGTGCATGTTTAAGTACATATGTCAGTAATAACAAAGGTTATTACAGTAGATAATTATTGGTGACATTTTGGTGACAGATTCAGGATGCATTGCACTCTTTTTTTTTTTTTAGATTAGAAATTCAATATTTAACAGAAACAGGCGTAGTAAAATAAATGAAAACAATAGGTTATACATGCTGCGTGGAACACTGTAGCTTGAGATAACATTACTAGGTTTGATCATAATATGCAAGTAAGTACCGTTGTTACAGACAGGCTTGTTATGCCCCAGAAAGCTAATAACAGGCAATTAGAGCCTATAATGCCCATAAACCTGGTGAGGGCACTTGATGGGACTTGCATATGTTTTGCAAATTCTTAGTTTTAGCAGTGGCATGTATCAGTATACAGAAACTAGCTGCATGATGTGGCCTGCGCAGAAGCCGAATATGTCATTGCCAATATATCGAAAAAAAACAGTAAAGCAGTTAGGCCTACACTGTGGCCACTCTTAGCTGCCGTGGACCTGTTCGGTGTAAATGTGGTAGTCACAAGCATGTACGGCCATCATTTTCGTAATTGGAGCAGCCATTTGCATGTGAAGGGATATACAAACAAGGAACTGAGAGAAAAATCAACAAGAAGCAATGGTTGCCTTTACGAGAGCTCAGTCACCCAGGGAGCGTGTGGGTGATGACAGCGTGCCGGGTATCCATGTAGTGGTGGGAACTAAGTGGCTACAGTGACTCGTCTCAAATAGCCCTACAGCGGCAGACACCAACCCCAGACACCCACTCCCTCCACTCAGGAGTCGCTGGTTGTGTAAGATAGATATACCCAGCTGGGCTGCGACCCAGGTCCAGAGAGTCCGCGCCCGGCGTCGGAGATGAGTATGCGTCCCCATCGTAAGACATTACCTCCCCCGGGAAAGGGCAGAAAAATAGAGGGTTCGGGGTAGCCGGTGCATTGTCACCCCCCCTGTACGCAAGCACGAGCGGGGACCACCCCGCAGCCCACAGGATGCGTCCCGTTAAGCCACGCGGGTCAGCCTACCCGCCGGTTTATGGGGAGGCCACGCGCACACACACAGGGGGGGTGAGGTGAGGGCGAGGGTGTAGGACCCACTGCTGGAGAGGAGGGGGGGGGGCCCGTCCAGGGGCGTTGTCCGCGAGCCGTCAATGAGGGGGGATGATTTGGTTTCCCATTGTGATATGTTTGGGAGTCCTTTGAGGGGGCACTTAGCTGTTCATATAATCGGGTGATAAGGCCGGGACGTGGTCCGTCTGCTAGACAGAGTGTTTCATAGAATGTGGGCTGTGCTCTGGCCACTTCCACTATGTGTGGTTTTCGTGCATAGTCCCGTACCTGTAGGTATCGAAAATAGTCTCTGCTTGTCGGTGGAGCTTGGGCCTTTAAGTCGTCAAAGGTAGGGAATGTAGTGCCCTGGTATAGGTGACAGTACTGCTGCAGGCCTGCGTCCTCAAGGCCGCGGAAATCCTGCGGGGCCATGCCCGGGGGAAAGGCTTTATTTCGGAGGTACAGTGTCAGAGGTGAGACGGGGTGCGTGAGGGCGTATTTATGAGCCGTTGCGTTCCAAACTCGTATTGAATTCAGAATGGCCGGGCATGTGGTTCGTAGCTCAGGGCGGTCAGAGCGGGGAACCCACATCCAGAATTGAGGCAGGTCGGTGCACATGAGGAGTGTTTCAATGTCCACCCACCTGTGTGTATCGGGGGGTGAGTGTCACTCAGCAATCTGCGCAAGGTGGGCCGCCAGGTAATAAAGGTGTAAGTTCGGGAGCCCCAAACTCCCCCTGCTTTTTGGGGTGTATAATGTGTGTCTCGCTATTCTGTGTCTCTTGCCCGCCCAGATATAGTTGTCAATAGCAGTTTGCAGCGGTTTGATATCAGTTCTCGTGACCGCTACAGGCAGTGCCTGGAAGAGGAAGAGGAGGCGAGGGAGGAGATTCATTTTAATGGTGTGCAGCCTACCCAGCCACGAAATGGGCTTTTCGTGCCATCTATCTAAGTCCCTGCGCAGGGCGTGCATTAGTCTTTGGTGGTTTGCCGCATATAGATCGTCGTGTTTTTTCGTGAGTCGGACGCCCAGGTATTTAATGGGTTGTGTGCTAATTTTGAGATCTGTTGTACGCTGTAGCCAAGTAATGTCTGCGTCTGTCAACCCAAGGGGCATACCGACGGACTTGTCTACATTTATCCTGTACCTGGAAACTTGTTGATACTTAGTGAGAATATCAAGGACCTGGGGGACTGTTACCCTGGGGGCTGTGAGAGTAAGTAAGATGTCATCGGCATAGGCCGAGACTTTAAACTCCTCAGTCGCAATTTTGATGCCCTGCACTCTGCTGTCAGTTCGGAGTTGGTGTAGAAGGGGCTCCACTGCCACTATGAAGAGGAGGGGGGAGAGGGGGCATCCCTGGCGGCTGCCATTTTTTAAGTCAAAAGGGACAGGTCGTGCTCCCGGGAGCGATATCTGCGCTCTCGGTGCCGCGTAAAGCGCTCTAACCGCCCTGACAAACATAGGAGGAAGTTGCATTTCCTCAAGGAGGGCGAACATGTACGACCACTGAAGCCTGTCAAAGGCCTTCTCAGAGAAGGCGTGTGTGTCCTATTTGCCCACCACATCAGGTCAACCGCTCGTCTCGTGTTTCCGTATAGGTGCCTGTTGGGAACAAAGCCCACCTGGTCCGCGTGGATCAGCTTGGGGAGAATGACGTTTAGTCTAGTGGCCAGAATCTTTGCATAGACTTTGAGATCAAAGTTAATGAGGGAGAAAGGGCGATAATTGGCTACATTGGTGGAGTCGCGGTCCGTCTAGTTTTGAGTTACCAATTGTTGTATAGATACATTCCTTTGCTACTATTTGTTACTATTCAATATATAATAAAATCTTTTTTGTTTTTTGACCTTTCGGTCTTTTTATCTGTGCTCTTTTTCCTCATATTTCATTCATTTATTATGAAGTTCAGGCACATACTATTACCTCTTTCTCCCAGTTGATAGGTAAACTATTTTCAGTTTTATTTGGGGATGGACAGAGGAATGGTCCTAAAAAAATATAAAATTTTTGGGAGTATCGTCATTTTAACCCCTTAAGGACACATGACATGTGTGACATGTCATGATTCCCTTTTATTCCAGAAGTTTGGTCCTTAAGGGGTTAATAGATGTGACCCTCCCCAGCCATGAGAGCTCCATCCCGCCCCATCTCTCCATCTCTTTTTGTAAGTCCGACCATGCTTTCCTCAAGTTGTGATTGTGCATATTGACCAAATTTTTGCATAAATTAATGCCAAGATATTCCATATAGTCAGTTCTCCAATCAAATAAATATGATTTCTTAAGGGCAATGGTTTCCAGATTATTTAAATGAAACGGGAGGGCCTGAGTTTTGGACTCGTTTAATTTGTAGTACGATTGTAGCGGATTGCATTGGGCTGTCCTGAAAACGACATGTATTTTAATGTATTCGGCTAAATTGTATCTATGTATGTGAAACTGTATGCAGCATTCGTCTGATTGTTCGGTAGAATCACTCTAGGCATTATGCGAATGAAACTACCAAACAGTCAGACCACCCCAGTGGGAAGTGTGCCTCCAATTACCGGTTGCAACAATGTTGTGAACGGGTAATTGGCAATCTGTGCAGTGGGTCCTTTGTTCGTGGGTGGCCGCCATTCAGGAGACGAACACATGGCGGCGGCCATTTTAAAACTCCCGAACAGCGGTGTTTTGCCATCGAGTGTCTGGAACCCAAATCGGACAGTCGGCTAGGCGAACACCGCTGAGACCTCCACACTGCCCTTAAGTTCGTATCCAAACTACCGAACGGCCACCTGTTCGGTAGAAAGAAACACCCGAACAAGGGGATTCATGCAAACCCTCCCTAGTCTCTATAGCACAAGCCTTTCGTGCCAATTATTCCCTTCTTTTGTGACCGACCGCAGGGCCCCATCTCATGGAACCAATTTCGGCTGTACCCTCCAGTGCGGTCGGTCTTTTTATTACCTCCACAGATTTCCCGAACCCCTGGTCCGATCTGGGTTATTTTTGTATATGTCTCTCACCCAGATCAGGGCTACCAGGGAATGTAACATTTAAAGGGGTACCCCTAGGTTTAGGGGTACATCCAGAAACTCAGGGAATTTGTGTGCTGTATAAGGGGATTATGAGTCAGGTTAAGGGGAGGAGATGTGTGGGAGGTTACTCAGGTATGATTGGACACTGTACTAATGACTGTAAATCCCTCCCTTGCATGGGAGAATGCTTTATAAGGCCACTGTGTGAATAAAAGTTTAGTTCTGCTCCTCATGCTGTGTGTCGTCCAGTCATTGGGATTGTTGAGATATTGCTGGATTATTTTGCCTGCTGGAAACCTTGTTTTATGGATTTATAATACCTGTTCCTGAGCCTCAATGGGATCTTAAGCGGAGATAACTTGTGGAATACCAGGTCTCCGCTACAACGATATCTCGCCAAATTGAGTTAAAATGTCCTTGAGGTGTCTCAAAGATTCGTTTGGGTTTTTGACAACTAGGATTATATCGTCTGCAAACAGGCCAATTTTGTGAACGGATTCTTTAATAGCAATTCCTACAATTTGTGGGGTCGTTCTAATTCGTTCCGCCAGGGGTTCTATCGCTAAAACAAACAAAATTGGAGATAAAGGGCACCCCTGTCTCATCCCATTGGTTAGAGAGAAAGTTTTGGATGTGAGGCCAGAAGCTGAGACATGGGCGGAGGGTGCGCAATATAGTGCCTTAATTGCTATGATAAAGGATGATGGTATGTTGAACCTGTCTAACGTTCTCCATAAATATCCCCAATGTATCCTGTCAAACGCCTTCTCTGCGTCTAGAGATAGAAGCAAAGAAGGCGTTTTGGTCATATTGATATGCTGAATCAAGTTTATGATTCTTCTAGTTCCGTCTGGCGCCTGTCTATCCTGTACAAAACCTACTTGATCCTTATTAATTAGCAATGGGATTAATTTGGTTAATCTATTTGCAAGAATTTAAGAATAAATCTTTGAATCATTATTAATCAGAGAAATGGGCCTAAAGTTAGGGCATCTATCGGGAGTTTTTCCCGGCTTTGGCAAGGTAACTATTCGTGTGCACAAGGACTCCTCCGACATCTTTCCCCCGGACTTATAGGAATTTAACATTTTAGTCATATGGGGAATTAAAGTTTCTGGAAACGTTTTATAATATAAAATAGTGAATACATCAGGTCCAGGGGCTTTTCCAGATGGCATAAGTTTGATCGCCTCAGCTATCTCTTCTGCTGATATTTCACATTCTAAGCTTTCTAAATGTCCTGGAGACAGCTGAGGCAATGACACTCTGTCTACGAATTTATCAATTATTGTTGCAGAAGGCAGGGGAAGGTCCGAATTACATTCTAAATTATAAAGTTTACTATAATACTCTGCAAACATATCACTAATTTTAGTTGGATGAAACACTTTTCGCCCCTGATCATCAAGTAAATATGCTATTTTTGATTGGGCATTCACATGCCGGAGTTTGGATGCCAAAAGAGTTGAGGCCCTGTTGCCTTTTAAGTCAAATGTTTTCCTTAGACGTCTCACCATGAGAGATGTATAATCTAAATTAATTTAGTTAATTTTAGCCTTAATTTCTCCTATCATTGCTGATAGGGAGGACGATGGACCAAATTTATTAGCCTGGTTCAAATTGCACAATTCTTTTTCCAATATTCTTAAATTATTGCTATTAATTCTCTTCAGGTGAGACGCTCTAGAAATAAAATGACCTCTTAACACAGCCTTATGCGCATTCCAAGTCACCTTGCCAGGAACCTCGGGTGAGGCATTTTCCGAAAAATAATCACTCAAAGCTTTCTCCGTCAATGACTTGTTCACAACATCATTTAACAAATAATCGCTTAATTTCCAGGTTCTGTTTGGGCTGATGAAACAATTTCGTCAATATGCATTATGATTGGAGCATGGTCAGACCAGTTGATGTCTAAGATATCAGATTTCAAGATGTGCGGGATTAAAGCACCCTGGACCATAAACCGGTCCAGCCTGGAATACATATTTTTAGAGACAGAATAATACGTAAAATCTCTTTCATTCTCATGCATCAGTCTCCAGGAGTCGTATAAGCCACATTCAATCATGAATCTGGAGCATTTATACGCTAATCTGTCTATGCTGCTAATCACGTTCTTCCCTAGCGTTATTCCAATTCTCCATCCATGACAAAATTTGTGTTGCCACACATTACCAAGCTGCCTCTCAAATTCTCATTCACTAAGTCCATCAATTTCCTAAAAAACTGCAACTGACCGTTTTTGGAAAATACATGTTCACAATAGTATATTCAATAGTATTGAGTGATCCTATCCATATTAAATACCTCCCATCATCATCCGCTATTACTTTGTTTGTCAAACATGCTACATTCCTGTGAAAGAAAATCGATGTCCCTCTAGACTTGGATTTATAAGTGCAATGGTATTAGACTGGGAAAAGCTTTGACATACTCTTATGGTGTTTATCATCTTTAAAATGCGTTTCCTGTACACAGATTACATCTGATTTGTTGGATTTTGCTTCTTTGAATAATAATCATCTCTTGTGGGCAGTGTTCAGGCCTCTCACATTAAAGTAC